CCCTTAGAGATTTTTAAAAAGTAAGTTTTAAAAATTTCTGAAACACATCACAAATGCTTTATCACTTTGAAGGAAGATAAAGGACAAAATCCAATTAAGTGTTGAGCAGTTGGTTACTGGATGCCGAGGAGGTGACCCCAGATGGAAGGAAATGATGCTAGTGTTTCTCCTGGTGTAGGGGACAACTAGGGGTGCCAGGGACTCTGTGTTAGCATCAAGCTTGCTGTAAAATATTTTTTGGTTAATGCAATAATTGTATATAGTTATGGGGTATGGTGTGATATTTCAATACTTGTACATAATATATTCTGATCAAATTAAGGTAGTGTTTCTATCTCTTTATCAGTACTTCACGTTTGGAGGTTTCTAGCTCTTCTATTTATTCACTAAATACATAACAGTTTATGTGAACTATAGTCATCTCATCATGCTATAAAGTACTAGAACTTGTCCCTTCTATGGGATTATTTTGGTACCTGTTATTTGATCTCCCTCCCCACCTTTCCAGCTTCTAGTAATCCCTAGTCTATATCCCTGTGATTTATTTAACTTAACATACTATCCTCCTATTTACAAGAGTTAAGATATAGAATCAATGGTGAATGCCATTCAACAGATTAGTGGGCAAAATATGCTACATGTAAACATGAAGTAATATTTAACCACAAAGGGATGATAACCTATATTTACATCCTCTTATTTTAACCAGGACAACTTTTAGCATTTCTTATAGCCATGTACAGTAGCAATAAACTCCTTTGGTTTTATGTTGGAGTATCTTAATTTCTCCCTCATTTTGCAGGAGTGGTTTTGCTGGATATTAATCATTTTTGATAAGTGCATGTATCTCAAAATTGGTTTCTTTTTATTTATACAATATTGGTCCAAATACAAAATTGAAGGAATAGTCAATTAGCTAAATTATAGTTATTTTGTATTAACCCCTCATTTCTTAGTAGGTTTCTTTCATAGTTCTATGTTTTAGTTTTTATTTTAATTCTTTATTCTTTCATCCTTCCCTTTTATTATTAGTGCCTATTAATCTTACAAAATATTGTGTTTCAATGTTTATAACATATTTTTATCATTGGATATTGAATTTTTGATTGGTTTCTTTTTTTTTTTTCAGGACTTTAAGTATAATCCCACTGCTTGTGTCCTGTAGGTTCCTGCTAAAACATCATAGTTGATAATGTTATTGAAGATCCCTTGTACAAGATGAGTTGCTTCTTCTTTCTTGATGCTTTCAGGATTTGTTCTTTAAGAGCTTGATTATAGTATGTCTTGAAGTAACTCTCTCCGGGTGTATCCTACTTAGATATAGTGACCTTCTTGTATTTGTATATTCATATCTTTCATCAAATTTGGGGGTTTAGGGCCATTATTTCTTCAGATAATCCCTTAGCCTCTTCTCTGTCTCTTCTGTAATTTCCACAACGTGTACATTGGTTCACTTGAAGGTGTCTGAAAAGTCCCTTAGGATCTGTTCATTTTCTTAATCTTAATGATGTAAATTGTTCTGACTTCCAGTTTGGTAGCTCTTTCCTCTGCCTGCTAAATCTGCTTTTGAATGCATCTGGTGAAGTTTTAAATTTACTGTATTTTCAGCTCCAAAGTTTCTCATTAGTTACTTTTATAATTTCTGTCTCTGTTGATCATTTTTAATGCTTAGTGAAGATAGTAGTTTTATTTATTTTTTCAAGACAGGACCTCATTATGCAGTTCAGGCTGGCCTCAATCCTTTTGCCTCAGCCTCCCACGTGCTGGGATTATAGGCATGCACCACCACACCTGGATTAAGACAGTTGTTTTAAAGTCCTCGTCTGGGTATGTCCAATACTATGTTTTTCTACTTCTGTGATTTTTTTTTTGAAAACACAGCAACCTCTCAGGTTTTGGAGACTAGTCATGTGGTGAGGCAGTTCTTCAGTGATTAGGTGGGTTTGCTCCAAGCTGAGGTGAAAGCTTAAGGTTGGTTCAGCGGTCTCAATTCCCTTATATACACGGCGGCCTCTGAGTGTCTTAACATCTTAGTCTTAGGGTCTTGGGAGTTGAGGCAGCCTGTTGTTTGTACCCATAGTCTCTTGTCTCAATTCATCAGGGGCTTGTAGTCCTCTCACAACTCTTAGGAGTAGTACCTGCCATCACCCTCAGAGGAAGACCGTGCTGCCCTGAGAAGAGCATGGTGAGTACCAATGCCGTGACATTTCCTGCCATCTTGGAGGTGCCCCCCATTTGGTATTTACTTGGTTTTTATAGACATTTGGCTCTTTGTCAGAGTTCCTGTTTAGTTCAGTCACTTATTGGCAGCTTTTGCTGTTTCTGTGGAGAAACAAGTATTGGGGTTTTCTAGATTTTCACTGGCTAATGTCCTTCGACAGTAACTGAAAATACTTAGAGGTGTGACGCGCCCCTTGCGGCGCTGTCCCCCCACTCCCACTTGTGCTTAGTTCATTGCTGGTCTGACATCAGTGCCACATCCACACTGATGTCACCCTCCGCAGGGTCGCCAGTGGCTGCCTGTCATCAAGGTCCTGTAAGTGCTGGTCCGCACTTATTTGGCATTGTGTTTGCTCCTCTGAATTTTGATATTGACCCTTCTTTAGGGAAAAAGCTCCTTTACTATGAATCTATTTTTAAGATGTTTTCCTACATGATAGGTTATCTTTTTCTCTATTTTCCTCCCACAGTTTAACTAGGTTTTCCTAGCATTATGGTTTGTGCTTTTTCCTCACATCATGCTTTTCCTCTTCCAAGGTGATCCCATCTATGACTCCCAGTCACCCCTTGAATAGTGTTGGCTGCTAAACTGACAATGGTTGGCATATCTGTATTTTAAGTTCCAGATCTATGCCTTTAACTGTTTAATATGCTGAAATGTCTGTAACAATTTCTCATCAGACTCATTCACTCTCCCAGTATTCATTCAAATATGTGTTGTTCAGTAGCCATGCATTGGTATAATTGCTAAAGTTTCTTTTTTCTGACTTCTAGTTTTACTCTGTCATGAGCAGAAAAGATATAGGCAATAAAGAAGAACCAAAGAAGCAGACTGCGATGAGTAGCTATGGAGGAACATTGGACATAAGCAACAGAAAGCCTGGAACCTGTACTCTTCAAAGACCAGGGACTAACAGCCTAGTAAGAGAAATAAACTGCCCTGGTATTTGCCACGTGGTTGTTGGGGATGACCTAAGCAGCCTTGGCAAGCAGTTCTCACATGCCAGGTAGGGTTCCAGGGGACTTTGAACACACGCTTTTGAAGAAGCATTCTATACAGTTGTATCATTTACCTCAAAAACGCCACACCTGATTTACTTTGGTGCCAACTTCTAAAATAGTAGCAGGATGATATAAGTGGGACAACTGTTCTATGTTTAATAGAGTCCTTAGCCACATGGACTGGGGAAAACCTAAGCCTCTAATTGAGGTATGATAGAAGAAATATAGGTAGAAAGGAGACAAAAATTATAATTTTGAGAAAATTGTGTCTTCAAGACATAGTCAAAGTTAACCAAGGTTACAATTCCTTTTTCACCTGTAGACCTTTTTCCCCTTCTAGACTCCTCCCGAATTCCTGAGGGTCTTAGAGATACAGTAAGTCCATCCATTTGGCTAATGGCTTACTTTCAATACTATAAATCCACATATTTCACGGACTTGTACCCTCAAAAAGCAATATTAATTGGGTGCCATCTCTCTAAATTTCAAACACATGCAAATGGTCTGCATGTTAACATAATTGATTTTCAGTTTTTGCTTTAGTCCACTAATGGGGTAACCCGGCAGACACTAGGTCTATAATAAATAACTCAAAGGATAAACACCCTAGGTCACCATCTTGAAGAAACCCCAAGAATCACATATATGCCCTCAACTCCAGACCGTAGTGCACCTTGCCCATTGAGCACCTGTAGTCCTTTGCTGAGTGTGTACTTCTTTGATTCTGTTAATAAGTCTTCCTATGCCTCTTACAGATGCGTCTTGAAATGCTTTTCCATGATGAATCGAGGATCTATCGGGGCGAGTTGAGGTCCCTATTTTCCTCTTTGGGGGGACTTCCTTGAACCCCACCTGATGACATGATAACTTCTGACAGGTGCTCAGTCCTACTTGGTTCAGAAATAATGAGAACCGAACAGTGACCCCACAATGCCTGGGAAGCTGCTGTCACGGCACGGCGTTTGTCACTGCTCAGCTTGATCAACCGCCATCCCCACTCTGCAGTTTGTGCTGATCTCCTCTCTCAAATCCTAACCAAGCATGAATTTTCCTCTCCAGATGGAAGAGAATCACTGTGGTTCCTCCACTATATCGAGAGGAGGCCCCATCCCTGAGCTCCTGGGGTCATGTGATCCCCACTGCTGCTGTGTGTTGGTCTTACCTGGGACTTTGATGTCAACCTCTAGGATTGGAATCAAGAAAGGAATTAGTTTCAGAGTGAGCCGGTTAGCCCTCCACGTTTCCTGGCATGGAACAATGATTCTCTGTCCTGCCCAAATATCAGAATCACCTGGGGAAGTTTTAGAAATTACCCATGCTTGGCTCCCACCCCAGAGCTACTGACTTTGCTCTCTGGGAGGTACAGTCTGGACAAGGGCTATTTAAAGAAGTTTCCCCAGGGAATGTAAGTATGCAACTCTTTGAAAGCCCCTGACCCAGGAAACACGGAACTTTCTATCACCATCCCCACCACAGCCAGTGAGCAGGCTGGCTCTAAGGACTGTGAAGCTGAGGCGGGTGCCTGAGGGCTCACAGATGACCTGAGAGCCGGAAGCCTCAGGGCGGAGGGAAATTGAAAGAAAAAAGTAACTGGTGTGTTAATGTTGGAGAGAACGATCAGAAACTCTGGGCTTTAGGAACGATATTGGTGGCGTTAGAGGGGAATGTGAAAAACAGTTGTCACAGAAGAGGTGGCAGTAGTGGCATTTGACTTCCTATGGTGGCCCAGTGTACACCTTCAGATTCATTTTTCAAATAGAAACCTCCTGAGCCCTTACCTGGCCCCAGCTGGAGAAGGCCCACTCCACACACAGCTGTTGGTTGCAAGCTTGGGTGTCCACAGGGCGTTTGGCATGCTGCGTGCACAAGTCATTGGACGCGGGGGTGGAGAGCCCAGAGGCCTTCAGCTTCTGACAGGTCACCCGGCGGGTCTGGATGCCTCCACCACAGCTCCGGGTACAGGCAGACCAGGAAGTCACCATCCACCTGAGGAGTGGTAGGAGTGTCAGGGGGGTCCCGGAGGGGTGCTGGGAAAGGAGCCTTGCACTTCCCTGTCACCACACAGAAGCTAATGTGAGGCCATGGCCGTTTTCACAATATTTACTTGGAAAGGTAGCCTGAAGAACAGCTCCCCCAAAAGATATGTCAGAGCCTGGATCTGTGTTACTGTATTTGCAAAAATGGTCTTTGTAGTCATAGTTAAGGACGGCGAGATGAAATTATGTAGGTGGATCTTGGGGTCATCTTACACGAGAAAGGCAGAGAGAGAACACACAGGGAAGAGGAGGAGGAGGGCAGTGACCAAGGAGCAGGAGGTGGAGTTGTACACAAGCCAAGGAACACTTAGAGGCCCTGGAAAGTGGAAGGGACCAAGGAGCAGATCGACTCCTATATCTTCTGCAGGGGGCAGGGTCCTGCTGACACCTTGATGTTCTTCCTTCTGACCTTCAGCATGGTGACAGAAGAAACTTTTGTCATTTTAAGCTACTGTTTGTGGCGATTGGTTATGGCAGCCTCAGGAAACTGATATACTTAGGACATTGCCCCGGAAAGTACGCCCTACAGGAGTATTCTGAGGGTCAGTTGCTTACTGCCCAAAGGCTGTGAGACTGCGGACAGACTGCTCCGGAGACAGTCTTTTTGCTGCTTATACTGCTCTGCGGGTCTGTTGCTTTCTAGTATGAGAGCAGGGACAGCTTCCCGGGGAAGTCAGAGCCAAACCTCTGTCACCTCTTGACTGGGGTCTCACGGAAGGTTTTGTCTGGTAGTATTCTGTACTTTATTTCACCTTAGCCTATGTTCTGTTTGGTTTCTTTAGTCTTTCAGAAACATAAAAAGTTCCTTTCAGGTTCCTGGGGCAATTTTCCACATCCATGAATCCGTCTTTTAAGTTTATATACCTGTGTTACATATGCGATAAAAATATTTGTTTCCAGAATGTTAGGCTTCAGCTACAGTCTGAGTGTCCAGAAGTGAGACTTCACAGGAATAGAGCAAAAGGGCTTTTCTCATAAAGCGGAGGAGTACTGTGAAGTTCTAAGTCCATATACAGGCATATTGGGAGTTTCCTGTGTATCCGGGGCAGTTCGCAAAGAGAAGGGGCGGGGGTAGTTACAGAAAAGTAACGAGGGAGGTCGTACTGTTGAGCCACTTCATGTACTAGAGGAAAATAAAAAAACAAACAGAAGAAGCATGTGTGGTAGAGAATTTACCCAACATGAACTGACAGAAGTAGGTGTTCTATCTAGAAAGACTGTCAGGAAAGATACAAAGAAGGATGCTAACCTGCCCAAGAAGCTAGGCAGGAAGACCTGCCGAAGGTGAATCCAAGGCTACTTCCTGGTGAAATGGTGCACATCTGGCTTCAGAGAGGCCTGCTGTGGGAAGGGGAGCAAATCCCTCCCGCATCTGGGTCTGTGACTTACTGAGTTTTGTGTCAGTTTCCCTGCCCCTTTGCCCTGGAGCAACCCCCAGCGCAGAGACACTTAGGAAGCAGGCGTGTGGGGTTTGAAACTCCTGGGGGCTTTGAGACTGGAGAGGACATCGCCATGATTATTCCATTTGCAGAGGTAAATTAGGCTGACTGACTCTGACCATTACCAGCTCAAATCAAAACGCTCCTGGCACGTCACAGAGCGCCTCTCCATTTCGCACGGCTCAGCGAGGGCCGCCTTCCAGCCTCTCATGTCCCTGGTGAACGTCAGAACTGCATTTCAATCAACATTTCTTTTTAGATATACATTTCAGTGACTTTTTTTTCAGGAGCGAGGTGGGGTTCTGAGCAAGGAGAGGCATGGGCCGTGTTACCGTTCAGGAAAGGTGTGAAAGGACATTAATCATTTCCATGGAAACCTCCCTGTCAGCACGTCACACTGCTGATATTAATGAGCGTGTTTCATGTTTCACGCGGTCTCCTGGTTTCGGCTGCTCCCTCTGGCTCAGCTGGCAAAGCACAGAGTGGCTGCCTGAGGGTGTGTGGGAGTCCTGCAGGTAGGGCGCGAAGGGGCACCGCTGGCTGAGCCAAGTCTCCCCAGGCTCAGAGCCCCTGCCGATGCCAGCCCCGAGCCCATCCATTATCCCTTCAGCGGCTGCCTAAAGACTGATGGGGGCGCGGGACATGCTCGGGGGGACTTGGCTTCTCCAAGCATGACGAAGATCTAAGAGACGGAGGCGCTGAATGTCACCCAGGTCAAATAAGGGCCCCAGTGCAGGGAGTGTGTATCCAAAGTGAAGGTAGTTATGGACACTGGAGACTTACTCCAACCTTAGTGAGATACAGCCGATTGCGGCAAAGAAGATGGGATTTCCTCAGCTACACTGCGGGAGTGGGTAGCACAGGCATGCAGAGTGAGACAGAAGGAGAGAGGGCTGGGCAGAGTCTCCTAACCTGCCCCCTCAGCACTTCAGCGGAGAGCACTCTTTCTCTCGCAGACAGCCCGGGGGCCAGAGGCGGGCAGCAGGACGGGCGCGGTCTGTGGCCCAGGCCTGGCATGCGCCTCTTGCTGAGTGGCTCGCAGCCTCTCGGGCGCTCGGGAGGGCCAGGCAGCCACCGGCGCGCAGAGGACGGAGGCAGCGAGGAGCCTCGCTTGCTCGGAGCACACCTCAGCTCCCCGCGCTGCTGCCGCCCGCAGGGCTGGGGGCGGGCGCGGCACTCACCGGGAAGGGCAGTCCCTCCGGTTGCAGGCGGTGGGCTGCACGGCCGGGCGAGCCTTCCCTGAGCAGCGCTCGGGGCCGACCTCTGTGCTGTTCAGCAGACACCTGAGGCGAGGCTGCTGCACCCCTCTGTTACCGCAGGAGGCCGAGCAGGGGGCCAGCCTGTCCACAGACCACCAGTAATCTGCCAGGGAGGAGAGAGGGCGGCGTTAGTGCCCCGCTCGGTTCCTTCTGTGCGGGAGCGGGAGGGGGACGGGTGGGAGAGGCTGTGGCTGAGGGAGAGGTGCTCTTGTCAGAGAGATCGGCCTTGGGGTGGTATGGCCGTGGGCGAGGTACTAGTATCGGAGGGCTCTGCCAACCCCTCTGGGCAAGGCCTGGGGCCTCCTGAGCGCAGGGTGACACCGACAGCCCTCCCCACGTCAAATCCAGTGAGGCCTGGGTAGCAGGAAAGCGCAGGGCCTTGCCTAGGCAGACACAGAGAGTACTTGAGACCCGTAGCTCTCCTTATTTTTAACCACACTTGCGAAAGTACGTTTTTCTTGTTCATTTACCAGAAAGTGACTTTATTTGTCTACAGAGAGGTGTAAATATATCAGAAATTGAACCATATTTAGAAGGGTGGACTCGTTTTGTAAATGTTACCGAAAGCAGCCTATCCAGAGAGTTCTCTACGTGAGACAGTGATGTCAGTGAAAAAGCAGATTTCTTTGGAGGTCTGGGACTCAGTGCTTGAAAAGCTGTTAAAGATGAACGTGGCTAGTAAATTCTGAGTGCTTATTTGCAAGTGCTTGTGTATCACAAAAGTCACAGACGGGCCCTGTATTCTGGTGTTCAGCAGAGACTAGCCGGCTGGTAAGAAAATGGAACATTTGTTTTCCTGTCTGGAAAGCATACGGCAGGGGAGTGCACTTAAGAGGAAACCCATGTGCTCAGGAGTATCTCTCTCTGGTCTCCCTCCTTTACCAACACTCTGGGCCTTCTCTCAGATCCCCCATTCTGGAACATACGCAGTAGGATGTCACTTTCCTTAGCAGTATCACATACGGCTCACAGAGCCAGCCCGTGGAGAACTCAAAGGCTGCCCCTGGTTTCTGTAAGAGGCCAGTTTAGGCTGTCTTCCCGCGGCTCTGAGCTCGTTCACAGCTGCTTCTGGGGCAGCGCAGGCCAGGCCCTGCCCGTGTCCCTGGACAGCACAGGAGTCTCAGGCCGCTCTTTGCCAGGCCAGCGGGAAGGTGCCTGGGAGCCCTCAGCGAGTGACTGCTGCTGAGGACTGTTTAGAACATTAGGCCGCCATTGCAACAGCCCCATCCCCCGGGAAGAAGGCAGTGTGGGAACTTTAATCAAACCGTTAGAACCAAGAGGTTGTTCTTTAGTTCTGGGTAGTTTTCTTTTTGAGAGAGAGTGAGTCTCAGTATGTAGTTCAGGTGGCCTTAAACTGACTACGTAGCTTACTTAGGCTGGACGCCTGACAGTTCTCCTGCTCCAGCTTCCCTAGTACTGGGATTACAGCTGTGCTCCACTGTGCCCAATTTTGGTTTTTTAAACTGATCCGGCAGAGAAAGCTCGCCCTTTAAGACAGGCTGCCGCGTGTGCTCAGGGCCTCTCCGGTGCTGGTTAAACCGGCACAGGAAAAATCCAGCTTTGATAAATTGTGATGGTTACTTGAGCCTGGGCAACAGCAACGTTGTGAGCAGAACCCGCTGACCAGGCAGCACTGACTTTTGCAGGGTCGGCGGGGATGGGCCTGGGTGCTCCTCTGAAAAGCTGCGGATATTGGCAGAAGGACGTCACACTGCCTGCAAACATGGTTCGGCATCGGTTTCTACGCCCTGGGTAGCGCTGGAGGTCAGAAACCACCTTGTTTCACTACAGAGTTAGGTTCCCAGGTAGGTGCTCTTTTGTAAACCAGTCTAACACCCACGTCTGTGGGGCTTCTCACCTTGGACCACGAGAGACGCCTTCTGTGTGAGCAGCCCTGCCTCATTCTGAGCGAGGCAGCTGAACTCTCCTTGTGACCCAGCACTGAGGTTTGCGACCTGCAGGATCTGTCCAGCGGCTAAGATGCGATGCGCCAGTCCCGGGGCAGTGGCAATGGGCTGACCGCCGTGGAACCAGGTGATGTTGGGTGTGGGGTGGCCGGTGACTGGGCAGCCTGAGAGGGAAGAGAAGAAGCAAGAAGTCAGCGGAGGCAGAAAGGACCGTTCCCGGCGGGCTGGGTCCGTGTCTGCATGGCTCTGCAGACCACACACAACATGCCTTACCCACGGCGTTTTCATGTTTGCTGTTCCCCAGCAAACAAGAGACGCTCTTCTTCTCTGGGCTTATGCGAGGGTGACTGTTATTTACTCAGTTGAGTAACAATTCTTAGAGAATACACAGTGCCTATTTCTTTGTGTGTCCCTGTACTAACTAAAAAATGATATGATTAATATTCATTCATTGAACATTTTCCAAATTAGTCCTATACTAATTTTATTCAGAAAAAAACCCTGCTGTTTCACATGAAGTATGGTGGAAAAAAGTTTGATTAACTATTGTAATAGTTAATCAAACTCTATTGGTGCAAGTCTAATATCTGCCTCATTTTACTCAATTTTGATTTCTTTTTCTTTTTTGTATTGGGAATTGAACTCAGGACCTTGCACTTACCAGGCAGATGCTTGTGCCACTGAACTATATTCCCAGCCTCAATTTTGATTTCTGAAGTCAAAATTTTTCAACAGACTAGGAAAACAAATTTAAACACTGATCTAATTTCTCTATAAATTAAGAGCCCTGGTCTTTTGAAAACTTTTATAAAGCATGAATTGGACATATACAGTATTATGCTTATCCACATAGTCACTGAACATTTTTTGATACATTAGAATTCCAGGATATTAAATTGAAATACTGTGAACACCCGAATGTTTGCTGCATGGAATTGGTAAGATAAACAGATTGCCACGGTGAGAAAAAACATCACTTTTAAATTTGGACTACTTGCTTAATTTGTTGCTGTTGCCCTAATGACTTAGCTTCCATAGAAAATTTATTGGAAATTTAAAAGTACATGTTAAATCACTAAGAATTATACATACTGGAGGTTTCTCCTCAGTTCAGTAAGAAAAAATGTCTCTTATTCTGCTCTGGGGACAGTGAAGATCGTTAAGACTACATTATTGCTTCAAGGAGAACCCAACTAATATAGGACTTCTTTGTTTTAAAGAAAGCACACTAGTCAACTAGTCATCCTGGGATGTAAGATAGAAAATGAGGAGTTCTATGATACATGACAGTGGTGTTATGATCTGAATGTTGCTTCCCCTGTGAGTTTGTATGTTGAATCCTAATTGCCAAGGTGATGGTATTAGAAGGTAGAACCTTTGGGAAGTCACAAGGGCTCTGCCCTCAAGAACGGTGTTAACGCCCTTCCAAAAGGACCCTCGTGGGCTTCCTTCTTGTAGAGGTTGTCATGCTCGCCTGACAATAGGTTGCTGCCTGCTCTTTCTATCCTATGTGACCATTGGTTTATGCAGCTTATGGTATCTTTGCTACAGCACCCTGGATGGGCTAGAATGGCCACTTGCATGGTTACACAGGTCCCATACATCTACAGAGAGAACAGACTTTCTAATAGTGGCTTTCATTCAAGGGAAGTACTGTTAAAATTTGTACAAGGTGGGAGGGTTACCCCAGGAGAGTTCCTTAGAGATTACCTAGCTGACCACCAGACAAGAAAACTGAGGCCTGGAGGTGCTGTAAGAGTTAAGGTCACGGGCCGGGCTCCTGACACCTGACTCTTGTTTCCTCTGTACCTGCTCTTTGTCCCACTGCGTACCAGCGGCTCACCTACGTCCTTTCTGTCTCACCTTGCTGTTGTCCACTTCTTATTTCCTCGTCTTTTTCTGCCATCTTCCTGAGGTAGTTGGTGTACAGTGAGAGGATGGGAGCAGATCATTTTGAAAAAGGAGACTGGGAAAAAAAATCCTTAAATTGACCCTCAGTAGCTCAGCAGAGGGTGTAGTGTTACAGGACCCAGTTCTTCCTCCTCTCTGCACCCACTCATTTTGCTGTGTGCCCCTGCAGTGCCTGCCCAGAATGGATGGCCTGTGTTTTCCCCTGTGGACTTTGGGTGTGATCATGTGACTTCTTTGGCTAATAAAATGAGACAGATATTATTGTTATAGTGAATATCTGGGAAAGAAAATTAAGAAGGTAATTTCACTTATAATAATTTATAACCACACCCAAAAGAATAAAATACTTAGGAATAAACTTAACCAAGCAGGCTGCCATGGTTTAATGTCTGTTCCCCCCAAAAGTAATTTTAAAATTTAACTGCTATGGTAACAGTATTAAAAGATGGGACCTTTGGGAGGTGATTAGGGCACAAGGGCTATGCCTTGAAGGATGGTATTAATGCCATTACCAAAGGGTGAGCTTGACTGCTTTCTGTCTCTTTACCCTTCTGCCTTCCACCACAGCACACAAGACAAAGCACTATTTCTGTGCAGAGGACAGAACATTCAAAGCACTACCTTGAAATCAGAACAGCTAAACTTCTGGCACCTTTATGGTATACTTCCCAGCCCCCAGAACATAGCTGATGAACTTCTGTTCATTGTAAACGATCCTATCTCAGGTATTGTGTTACAGAAGCTCAACACTAAGACAGAGGAGAAAGACCTACACATTAAACATTACACTGCTGAAATTAAAAAGTCATAAGTAAATGTAAGGACATTGATGTTCATGGATTAGAAGACTTAATGTTGTTGTGGTGTCAGTTTTACTAAAGTGAGCTACAGAATCAGTGCCATCCCAATCAAAATCGCTTTGACATATTTTGAAAATAAAAAAAAAATCTCATCCTAAAATTCACATAGAGTCTCAAGAGAGCCAAAATAGGAAAAACAATCTTAAAAAAAAAAAAATAAGAAAGAGGACTCATACTTCCTGAATTTAAAGGTTACTATAAAGTCATAGTAAGACAATATGGTACTGGTATAAAAGCAGACACATGACAAATGGCAGAGGGTAGACCTTAAAGATGTAGTCAAATGCTCTTCTATAAGGGTGCCAAACTGTCCAATGGGGGCTGGGGAAAGGACAGTCCTTTTGACAAACAGTGCTAGAAAACTGGATATCCATAGCAACCAAGTGAATTTGGACCCTAATCTTACAACACATACAAAAATAAACTAAAAGTGGATTAAGACCTAAACAGAAGAGGTAACAGTACAAAACTTAGAAGAGAACATAGGGAGAAACCTTAATTTGGGTTTGGCAATGATTTCTTAGATAAAACACTAAAATCTACGTAATAAAAGAAAATAGCCCGGGAAGTCATACAGCAGGGAACGCCGGCCTTTGGGCTGGACCCGAGCCATGCAAGTACCTGGGAGGCGGGCCGCCTGTGCCTGGGAAGCCATGTGGTGGGGAGCGCTGGCCTTCAGGCGAGCGCCGAGCTGTGCAGGTGCCCGGGAGGTGGGCAGTCGGCTCTTGGGAAGCCGGGCGGTGGGGAGCGCCAGCCTTTGGGCCAGACCCAAGCCTCGCAGGTGTCCGGGAGGCAGGCCGCCTGTGCCTGGGAAGCCATGTGGCAGGCAGTGCAGGACTTTGGGCCGTACCCTAGCCATGCAAGCACCTGGGAGGCAGTTGGTGCCCGGGAAGCCACGTGGTGGGGAGCCCCAGCCTTTGGGCCGCACCCTAGCTGCTCAGGCACCTGGGAGGCAGGCAGTCGGCACCTGGAAAGTTGTGCAGCAGTGCACACTGGTGTGCACAGTGCCAGCCCCTATACCAGCCACCACCGTGTGGTCGAGAATTATCATGGCATAGAGAAGCAATGACACAATTGGCCCTCCATGTGCTGGCCATGCAGGCCTGCCTGGGGACATGCATGAATCATCCCAACATGGAGAAACCCTTGGGAATACATGCCACACAATGGGTCTCTCTTGCCCCTGAGGTTGAGAACCAGAAAGGTCCAGAGTCAGTGGAGGAGCAGCTGCTGAACAAGGACTCGGAGAACATGAGAATACAGGCTATGCCCAAAGACTCAGATGTCTAGTTGACTGGGGTCATGAGAGCTGTTCAGAAGCTGGAAACCAGGGAGACCTTGCACAATACCTGGGGAGACCGCCCCCCCCCCAAGCCATTCTTCCCCTGACAGTACAGGCTGTGGTGGAGGAGCACATGGAGCTCTGGAGAGGCCTGCAGCAAGATTCCTGCTGCCTGTGCTGACAGTTGGGGAGAGGACACTAACTGGTTGTGGGGTCCCAACGCGATGGGAGGCTGGAGAGAAAAAGCTACAAAAAATGGCTTTCACCCCAGATGGCTCACTTGAGATGTTAGTAAGAATTGCCTCCTCAGTATTCTATAGCCAGGATGAGGAGGAGGCCAAGGAGAGAAAACAAAGAGACCGAGAAAAAGCAGCTGCTTTTGCTGCAGCACTAAGAGAAATAGACCCTAAGTCTGATTCTCGGGGCCCCAAGAAGAACTCAATGACAGCATTCATCTGCTACCACTGTTAAAAGCCAGGCCACCTCAAGAGGAACTGCCCTAAGAAGCCCCTTGGGCCATGCCCTGAATGCAAAGGTGACCACTGGAGATCAGTCTGCCCTCTGAAGCGGAGGCCCCAGAGCTCAGACCCATCCTACCAGGTAGTCCAACAGGAATGAGGGGGCCCAGGGCATACTGTGCCTTCTCCCTCTGGCCAGACTGTCATCTCCATGGAGGAGCCCCAGGTAATCATGACTATAGAGGAAAAAGAAAACAGCCTGTTGCTAGACACAGGTGCAAGTCACTTGGTCCTTCTTTTCAATCCTGGCCTTCCTTCCAGCTGTCACACCTCGGTGAAAGGAGTCACTGGTAAGGAGGTAATATGCTATTTTTCACAACCATCAGGCTGTAACTACTTGTTAGATCTTTCTTGCATATCTCTGTCTTCCTGAGAAACCACTTTGAAGATACCACCATGTGTTACAGCAGCCACTGATATTTTCCTATGAATTTGTTCATAACTCTGTAATGTTTGTATTGTTCCTATGTTATTTCATAAATGGATATATGTTTATTACTATGTGTTTCCTACAACAACCATTGAGAATAGTCAATGATTATTCAATTGGTCACTCATGTATAGCTCTATTTATTTTCTTTAGAAACCACTTT